CACCCCGTGACCCGCCTGAAGAACAATGGTTACGCATCGCGAAGATTTATGTATCGTTCCACGGGGATTCAATTCTCGGCGAGCATAGCCGCCTATTCGACCATTTCATTTAATCCCCGGCCGTTTGTTACACGGAAATTGAATTACTCTATTTTTGCATGAACAATTCGCGATATACAGGCCGTTACTAAACTCTTTAATGCCCGAACGGAACATTCTACCGTTAACGCTGATGAGAATTTGTCGTATCGGCGCGACAACGCGAACGCGTTCCCTTCGAATCATCCATATTAACAATTTCGCTGGCGCGCCAGGCTCAAGTGGATAACGCGATACCTAACGCAACACGGGTAATTAATCGTTGCCGTGAAACATCAGCCGAAAGCAACTTATGGTTGCACAAGAGAGCGCGGAGTATCGCACCTGTGACGAAAGCTGTGGCATCTGGTGGCACGTCCGGAGATTTCGCGGAATTTTTATGAATGTCCGATGATCGAGATTATGCGCGATAAACAACCACGTGCACAAGTATGTGGACAGATTCTTAGTATTATTCTCAAGATATAAGATAGAGAATAATTTGAAATAAATAAAGGATAAGATAAAATTAATATTGAGGTAGATATTATTCTTAAAATATTTATCCGAAGGGAAGTCTGAAGAAGAATCATTGACGAATATTATTACGATTTTTGTACTCACTTTTTATCATATTAGAGAATATAATTTTACCAATGTATTATTGCCAATATATTCTTTTTCATTAATTTTGGCATATTATTACGATTTTTGTACTCACTTTTTACCATATTAGAGAATATAATTTTACCAATGTATTATTGCCAATATATTCTTTTTCATTAATTTTGGCATATTATTACGATTTTTGTACTCACTTTTTACCATATTAGAGAATATAATTTTACCAATGTATTATTGCCAATATATTCTTTTTCATTAATTTTGGCATATTATTACGATTTTTGTACTCACTTTTTACCATATTAGAGAATATAATTTTACCAATGTATTATTGCCAATATATTCTTTTTCATTAATTTTGGCATTGCTGTTATGCGCTTTGTCATTACATCCGAAGAAATATTCTCCCATTCAGCTTGTAATAATTCTCATAAATGTTTCCAAGATTTTAGATGGTTTTAAGTAACACGACACTCTTAATCCGACACTCATTGAAGGGTTTAAATAATCGAATCACTCGATTTAATACCATTAGATGTTCTATAGCATTAATTCGTATCGTATATCACTGATTCCTTAAAAGTGATAAGTGTCCGCATACTTACTGACGGGGTTGTACCTCTACAAACAATTCTTTCAATTGTTTCAAAGTAACATTTTTGTGCTTCGCATTTCGCTGAAATCGTTCAACGAGATAATGATCAGCGAGATAATCAGTAGTGATCAAAATTCTCGGAAAACACGTGTCGTTTCTCAAGCAGCCTTTCCATGAAATCTGAACTTATGAGATTCAATATCGCACAGTATAGCTTCTGCCATTGCTGATTTCTATGGAAGCAACGAGCGCAACGCATAACAAATGTTCCATTGAAAATGTTCTAGCTATTTTATGAATTTTAATCGAAAGCAGCGTCGTGCAGCAGTGCCAGGAATTTCCAGAATTTTCGACTCATTAAATTCATTTAAATTTCAATAAAGCGTTTGAACAATTCCTATCTCTTTAATCATTCCATGTCCAGGCAGAACTGAAAAAAGTTCAGCGGAAAATGTGCAGCATAAAAACGTCGCATCAAAGGAATGTCAAATTAAAATTGA